AGAGGGCATAGCAGTTAGCGTAATGGCTATGTCGCTGAACTCCTACATAGTCGATGGCGGTTCGAGTCTTGGACCCGATGGCTTAAACTTGTGCTGGGCGTGTGTGTGTGTGCCCAAGATCCCAAGAGAATGGAGTAGAAGGGATTGCGGCATGGCCATCCCCCCCGAGGGCTGATTTCTTGCTTTCTATCTCTCTGTCTCTGTCTTTCTGGCGAGTGCACGAGCCCTTTAGCAAAAACCTCTTAAAAAAAAAAAAAGAAAGAAAAACAAACAAATAAAGAAACAAACAAAACTTGGTTTGGGGTGTGGGCAGACAGGACTCTTCCCGTTCTGAATCTTCTTTATGGAGATCAAGGGAAAATTTATCTTCAGTCTTTGGAAGTAAGTTGTGCTTTTCCTGAGCAACTGAAGAGACCAGAGTGAAGACCTTCAAAGTCTGGCTGTTGCCAGAGCTTCCCCTGATCACCTACCTGTCAGACTGTTTACTCTAAGCAACGTGCATGGGACCGTAGAGTGGTCTTCCTCTGGGAACGACTCTGTCCCTCGCTTTCCCACACTTCACCTACCCTGCTATTTCATTCCCCTCAGTTTCCTTATATCCCAGAACACCTTTTAATATCTGTACTTGAGCCTCTACAAATCCTTCTGAGACGGAGCAACCACAGTCACAATACACTGAACAGTAATTGATGATTTAATTTCTTACCTTGAGTGTAAGATCAGATCGTTCTTGTAATTTATAAGTTTTAGAGAAAAGAAGTCTGATTATCCAGAGTATTAGGATTCCTTCCAAAATAAGATGGTAGGCGGGTGCCTAGGAGTAAGCAGAAAACAAAACAAAAAATCAAAAACTTTCAAAACCTGCATATAAATAAGCACACCTGCATACATTGCCTCGCATGACCTTTAACAGCTAAGGCCACTGGACTCCCACATGGTCGACTGCTGTATGAGTCTCGGACCTGGCGACTGGCTTGCTCTCTCTCTCTCTCACTTTATCCTTACCTGATCAAATTAAAACATAAATAAGTAGTATAAATAAAGTTAAATAAAAATAATTCTTTAAAAAACAAAACAAAACCAACATTGATTATCAATCCTTCAGATAATTTAAATTTTTACTGGTGGGAAACGACTAATGAAACACTTCACCGCTTAACTAGTCTACCACCCCCACCTACCCATGGATGAGTTAACAGTTTTATGGAAATCAGCTACCACAATACTTCATTATGTTAAAGAATTATTTAATTTATTATTCTTACTTTTTCATTTGACAAGAGAAAGAGAGAGAGCAAGCTGCCTGAGACTCAAATTGTCACCTGCTGGTCCCAGTTGCCAAAATTCTTTATTTTATTATTATTATTATTATTATTTTTTTTTTTGAGAGACTTTTGCTATAGGGCATGTGCACTTGCCAGTGAGACAGAGACAAAAAGCTCAAAATCATCCCCCGGGAAGATGGCCACGCTGCAATCCTTTCTCCTCCATTCTCCTCTCGGGATTTTGGGAACACACACACATGTGCCTAGCATGCATTTTAAGCCACCGAATCCAGGACTCGAACCATGGTCGACCACACTGGAGTCCAGTGATGTAACATCACACCATCAGCTTGTCCCTCTAGTTGCCACAATTCTTAATGTTTTATACATTTGACTGTATTTTCTATCCCGATAAAGCCCTTTAAATTCTTCTTGAAATGTGGCAGAAGAAAAAAAAAGTGTATACATACTTAAAGGAATAGCAGAACTCTTTTCTACCACAGCTCCCTAGAAGCGTGTAGCATTTTCCATGTCAGCAGGTGTTACGATATCTTAGTGAAAATCATCTCAGGTCTTCAACTGTGTTTTCAGGATAAAGACCAAGCTGCCTTTTCATGTGGAAGACTCCAGATATCAACTCAACACCAAGTCAGTCAGTGGAGGGGTGCCCTACTTGAACGTGCTGTCACTGGAAAAAGCATTTGAAAGAGGCATTCAGAAAACTAAGTACAAATTATTTTCAAACATTAGACGGAAGGAAAACAACTATGCACCAGTTTAAAACACTCAAACAAGAATTTGGAGACTGGAAAATTGTTGACAAATTGTGCAGCTAATATTTTCAAGTCGAGGGACCAGCAGACGGTGTAATGGACTGGACGTCACTGGACTCCCACGTATTTGACTGTGGTTTAAGTCCTGGACCTGGTGGTTCAAACTCATACTGGGCGTGTGTGTGCTCAAAATCCTGAGTGGAGAATGGAGGACAAGGGATTGTGGTGTGGCCATCTCCCAGGAGTGATTTCTCACTTTCTGTCTCTCTTGTCTCTCCAATGAGTGCATGTGCCCTATAGCAAAAATCATTCTCAAAACCAACTTCAAGCCAATGCAGAAATAACTTTGAAACTATATATAATATATGCTACACATACAAACACAAGTTATTTCTTTTTTAGGTGTACTACTGGGTCGTTGGAAAAGTCTTGACGTGTTTTTCTATGCAAAAATGTGACATGACTGGGAACCAGCAGTTAGCGTAATGGCTATGTCGCTGGACTCCCACGTAGTCGACCGCGGTTTGCGTCCCGGACCCGGTGGCTTAAAACTCCTTTAATTCTCTCTGCCAGACAGAACTGTTTATGGTGCCAGGCAATCTTTCCACGAGCTTCTGTTGGCTTTCTTGAGATCTACTTTAGTTCCATAGTTTTCTGGTCGTATCTTCACATATGGCATTCTAGTCAAAGCCGTGGCAATAAAAAAAAAAAAAAAAAAAAAAAACCTCTCAAAAAAAAAAAAATGTGACGACTTTTCTGATGACCCAATGTGAAAGACTCAACTTCTATACACACAGTGCATGGAAACTGGGAGCAAGAGCAGACGCCTCTCAGATGATTTTTAAATTTTCCTGAAGTGACTCAATTCACTTAGAAATAAATCTAAATACCTTTTCATTTTCTCAATATTTGTATCCCATCAGGCAAACATCTGTCCAAGTCACTAGTTAACAGCACATCCCCAAAAAAATCCCTCCAACCAAAGTTGAGACACTACTTCCCTAGAGAATTAATAATCACAAATGCCAGTCTTTCCTGGCCATGAAATGTAACATATAAAAGGCAATCTCCAGTTTTAGGGCATGAGAAGTTACAGTCAACGGTCTTTGACAAAATTATTTACTTGATTTAAAGAAAAAAAAATCCATTTCTAAAAAAACAAATTCAAGTTTAGTGGCTTTTAGTTGCTACAATTAACCTATGTTTGGCATTTCTTAAGCAAACATGAGGGTAGGAGAGCCACAAGTGTTCTCCCAACTCTTTTTCAAGAAAAAAAAAAAATCCTCTCTGAGTTGCAATGGAAGACCACCACTGCCCCTGCCAGTAGGCAGCAATAAGTTTAAAAAAAAAAAAATTACAAACAGTGAAATTCATTCACTTTAAATGAAAGTACATTCTGTTAGCACTTGGCAGGTTCCCTGCACCTAGATCTGAGGAGCCCAATGAGGAGCCCAATATGGTCACACGTGGCTGTTGGAACTTCTATTGAAGCTAAGTTAAATTAAAACTGCTTCATTGACCCTGTATGGCACAGCTGGGAGTCAGAAGCACACATTTTACAGGGCGGTGCAGGGAAGCTCAGTTGTTGAATGAAGTCTCCCAGACTGACATTATGCTTTCTTACTGTTTTTCATATGGGAAATTGCTAGACTTTCAAAAAGCTACGCTCTAAAAATCTACTAAAATAGTTGGGTCTTCTTAAGACAGATAAAGGGATCAATGCGGAAGAAGCACAAACAACTTCACGACTTCGCTGTTAAAAGCCCTAAACCACTTGGCTTCATTTTAAACTTCCTTTCTCGACAAAACAAAGTCCAGCTTATTACAATCTTTCTTCCCACGTAACTGCCCCACAGTCCCAAGGCCCTGACTTCCTTCCTCCCCAGTGGGAGGCCTTACGGCGCATTTTCACCACTTAGGTCCAGCATCGGTTCCAAACCTGGCTTTTGAGGGCCCGTGTGTCTCCTGCGTCCCGCCCCGGGTGACATCCAGAACCTGGGCCCGACCCAGAGCGGAGCTCAAACCCAGAGCCGACGACGCGCCCCTGACCCGCAGCCAGGATTGGCCCTCCCTGAAGCCCGGCCAGAGCAACGCCGGCTTCGGGCAGACCGCGCCGGCCTCGCCGAGTCCACGCGCGCCTCCCCACCCGCCCGGCAC